CCGGCCGGAGCGGCGGCGGAAGGCTGGGCGCGCCCGGCAGACCGAGCCCCCCCGGGCGCCCGGCTGGCCGGGGTGTCTTCTGCATTCCAGAGGATGTTGCTCACTTGTGTTTAAGTGTGCGGAGAATTTTGCTCTCACCCGCTACCCCAGGGGGAAAAAAAGAAATAAATAAAAAAGAGGAGCACCTGGCGCGGGGAGAGCCTGGTTCCCTGGCTGCGGGAAGTGGGCACGGCAAGACAGCGCTGGCGGAGGCAGGGGGCCGTGGGCTGGGCGGGCCGCGGGGCTGCCCCGGCGCCCACGGGATGGCTCGGGTGCCGTGGGAGAACGGAGAGAACCGGGCTCAGAGAACGGGCAACCATCCACTGCGGATGCCTCCGGTGGTCACGGCAAACCAGGGGGAAGGGGGAGGGAGGAAGACGCTTTGGGTATCAAACCGATCTCCCAGCTCCTGGCAGGTGTGCAGAGGTCACATTACAAACACTTCGGCGGGGGATGCATGCAGAATAGGTTGAAAACAGATTGGTTTGTAAGCAGTTCTCAAACCTGGGCATACTTGGGGCAAACAGGGGCACACTTGTAAAATGCACCTTTGTGTGGATTCTAGCAAAAGGAGGATGCCTGGATCTCTGAACGGGGAAGGAAACCATCTTGAAGAGAAGAAACTACAGGGCTACTTTATTCCCATAGTCTCTGAGAAAAGTGTGGAACTCCGAGGTTTCAAATATAGTATTTAATTGTGATAGATCAAGAAATCCTTGAGTGCTTCAGAGCAAATGGATGGGACAAAATCATCCCTGTTTTGAAAGGAAGAATTAGACTGCGGGCACTTAATAGTCAGTGTGTTGCTTGTGTTAATTTTGCTGGTTTCCACGGTAGTGCAAGTGCTCTTTGCACTGCAGCAGTCTCTGCTGATGTTTCCTACATCTCTTCTTATGGCTTTACAAAGAGACTCAAATTAATTGCTATCATCTGCCCAGTGAGAACAGTGAGGCTGGACATGAGGCGTTGTCATTCAAGGTTTATGGACAAGAATTCCTGTATATATTGATGGACTTTTGTTAAACAGTGGGGCAGTGCAGCAGGAAGAAATCCTTTCCCTGACAGGTTTGCAGAATGCTGAGTATAATTTTAATACTTAAGTATTCTATGCAATTGTCTTCTTTATGCCATATTAAAATCCAGATTAAGATCTCCACTTCTGGGATTATAGAAGGTATGAGTAGCATTATCTATCTTTAGTCTAGATGTATGTAAGCACACCTAGGAAATGCTCAGTAAAGATTTGTATTGATCCATTGATGTTTACTAAACTCCTTTACTCAAACAGATTAATGTTTTCCATGGATTTGCCTGTGAATTCTCTTTTGGGTTTTCCCAAATAATTTGTTAACATCCCAATCTAGAACATAATAAACCCCCACAGAGACCTTGTCTTTTATATTTACACAGTCATTCTTTTTCCCAAACTAGTCTCCTTAAAATTATGGCATTACCTGTGGGGAAATAAATGTCTCAAGCAAGTGAGATGACCTGTTGTAAAAGGGCGTGTTGACCACTAGGTCAGCAAAGAACTGAATTGGTGATGAGAGAATGCCAAATCCTAAGGGCAAGCTCATGTTTAACTCCTACTGATGATCAGTTGGACTTTAATATGAGTTTAATGGCAGAAAAAAATTAGGTAGTTGATGTTGACTGCTAGCAGATAGCCAAAATTCCCAAATATATTAAATTTTGTGCATGTTTTTAGTAAGCTTATTATCCTCGTGCAAACCTTGTAATTATTTCAGTGGCCTGTGATAAATAAGTAGTTCGTGACTCAGACTGAAAAATCTGTGAGGGATCAAAGGCAACGTGGAAGTTTCCTTCACCTGGAAAATACAGTAGTGATCTTGGAATCTTGAGGGGTTTTTTAATCTAGATAAATAATGAATTAATTCTGCTGTCATTTCCTCACTGTGATGTGATTTGACTGGCAGTGGCCTTCATGCTTGGTTTTGAAGTCATTATGCCCATATTGGCTCCTGCAGCTCCCCAGGAAAACTTAGTTCAATAAAATTGAATAGATGCCAATGTGGGCCTGTTCCAAAGCCCACTGAAATCAATTGGAATATTTCTGCAGACTGAGATGATGTTTGGATCAGGCTTTCACTGCAGAATTTGGCATAGACTGTTTGATCCCAAGGCAAATGGTCCAATATAGTAGGATGTGTTGGAGACAGGAGCAGAACATCACTCTGCTGTGTACATTGCAGGGTCATTCCAAACACTTGAAAATTCTGGCTGCAGCACCCTTTTTTTAATTGTAGGTGTTTCCATTCAAAACTCCTGTAACTCACTAAAATGAAGGGGGTTGATATTTACTGCCCTTATTTGAATTCCATTCCTATTTATGCAGTTGGCTAAACTTCTTAATCTTGGCAACCTTTAAGCTGTACTGGAGTCATTGGACTGACTACTCATGTCTGGAAGTTAAAATGACTGCAAAGTGGATTCAGACAGGTCTCTGAAGTATATTTGTGTAGTTCAGTTGTGAGGATTTTACTATCTCAGATTTTCGTCTGGGACTTCCGGCAGCTTAGAAGCATTCAATATATTGGTTACAAGCTGGACACCCAAGTTTCTTCAGGCCAGATCCACATAGAAACACCTTTTTAGCTCTGTAAACAGAGTTTAAAAGGTACCTACTAACTCCACATGCTGAAAGGTTTTTTATACCAACATAACACAGGTTTATACCTGCTCGGAGGAGCCAACACTTTGACTCATTTGACTCAAAATTAGCTTGGATCAGGAAAGATCAATTGTAGGAATTATTCTGAACTGGGGAGCTTCTGAGAAAAATAGGTTGAACTGTGGCTTCCCCTGGAGGAGGTTGCTGCCTTTCCTCACTCCTGCCCTGCTGAAGGTTCCCCCAGTCAGATCCTGGAGTTTCCCTGTGCATTCCCTGGCTCAAAGCTGTTAAAATAAGTCCCATCAGCAAGGGCCTTCTACTGAAGTTGGTTAAAGATTCTGGCATGTTTCCAGCAATAAGCTGGCAGAGCTGGAGCAGTTCCCACTCTTTCTTGATTTCCCCCTGTCCCAGGGGCTTCTGGCCCCATGGCAGGGATGATGGAAGAACTTATGAGTTTTTCATGTGTCTGAGCTCAGCCCTCTTAGTCACATGTCTCATTTTAAGCTTTTAGGTAGCCCCATTCAAATTACAAAGATATTTAAGTAACTTCTTGGTTCAGAGGTTAGGAAAGTCACCATTGAAAAGCCACTGGTGAATTGCTGAGAATGTGCCTCTACTCAGTGGTAATGTTGCCACTAATTTCTAGTGCTCCTGTTCCACATTTTCTTACTGGCATGATTGTATTTGCTGATGTCTTCAGTGCTTATAAATAATGCTGATCTCACTAGGAAAACTGATAAAAAATTTAACATATCATTATAAAAATACAGCCCCCTAAGAACCCATCTGTTCAATGAGCATTAAAGTAATTCTTTTCTCGTATTGACTGTCCTTATCAAAACTGAGATGGAATTTCCATTTTGCGGGTAGAGATAATGATGCAATTTATTTGAAATTAAAAACACCCCCAACAAAGGAAGAAGGTAGATGACTGACACTTAACTATGAGGTCAATCAATGTGTTTTTCCTTTGAGTTAGTCTATTCATTATCATAAAGACTTATTTTCAGTCCAACTCTCCTTTTTCATGTCTGAACTCCAGCAAACAGTGCTAAGACATCAAGTATTTGTATTTGTGAAATAACATTCTTCAAATTCAAAAAGCTATATGTAAAATGCTGTGATTTAGTTTTTCTGTGAGAGGTTAGTCACAAAAGTGTTTAAAATGTCATGCAATCCTGCAGTTCCCAGTAGATTTCCTGGGATTCTTTTCAGTTTAGCACCCACAGATTTGGGGGTTTCTGAGTAGGCACACAGAGTGGGAAAACTGATTTTTTTTTTTTTTGCTAGTGTCAAAGTCACCAGACGAAATGGACTTCAGGTGGTACAGTGGTTACAGTCATTGTAGTATTCACATTTCATATCATATTTCATATTTTCCACAGCTGGGGAGTAGATTAGGAAAGTAGCCTGTTAAAAATAATTTAAAAGATTAAAAAATAGGGTTTGGGGATTGAGTTGTTTTTTGTACTGACTGCAGTATCGTCCAATAGAGGCGGATTATGAGAAAGGACATCCTTGCAATCCAGCTTTTGTCTGACTCATGTCAGAGATTATGGGCAGATGGAAGTTTTGCTAAACTCCCAGTGTTCCAGCAGGGTCATCAAGGCAAACAGGGCTGTTTGGCCTCTGTTGGTGCCTCTTCTATGACCCTTTCTTGTACCAGCAGTCACGGGTGCCTGGTTTGCCACACTGCACCTTGCCCCAGAACCTGTGCAAGACCATTTCTGCTGCATTCAGGCAACTTCTGTTGGTGTGAGGGAGACTATTTCTACAACCACCTGCAGTAGCTACAAAGCAGAAAAGAGAACTTTTTGCTTTCTGTTTCTCTGCCTTCCTCCTTATCTCTTGCAAGCTTGAATTAATTAAAAGATCAAAAGCAATGTGTATTTTCTGATATTGAGAATTCTTTGTCATCTCACTATAAAAGTAAAGAGCACGCATCTTGAAACATTTTCTGAAATGGATCTCACTGGTTCCACATTACAGACTTTGACAGCCAACTGTCACCTGGGTGCCTGTTTCATATAATTTCTTAGAAATGGTGATTGCAATATTATAGTAATATTCTAGATGTGTGAGTCAAGGTAGCTATGCTGGAAATTTTAAGTAGATGTTACTTTTGGGGTGGGTTGAGTTGAATACTTATGTTCCACTAGAACATGAGGTAAGAGGTATTTTGCCACTTTTCCCATTGTGCTAAGATTTGCCACCAGGACGTTTGTCAGGAAAAAGGTAAACTCTGAGCACACATTGATTCCTGTGTGACTGCCCAGGATGAGGTGTGTGAGCTCA